ATTCCCACAAAATTCCCCCAAAATTCCCCAGAAATTCCCAAAAAAGTTCCCCTAAAATTCCCCAATATTCTCCCAAAATTCCCACAAAATTCCCAAGAAATTCCCCCAAATTCCCACGAAATTCCCACATAAAATTTCCCCATAATTCCCACAAAATTCCCAAAAGATTCCCAGAAAATTCCCCAATATTCTCCCAAAAATTCCAAAGAAATTCCCCAAAAATTCCAAAGAAATTCCCCCCAAATTCCCCAATATTCTCCCAAAATTCCCACAAAATTCCCACATAAAATTCCCAAAAAATTCCCAGAAAATTCCCCAATATTCCCCCCAAAATTCCCAAGAAATTCCCCCAAAAATTCCCCAATATTCTCCCAAAATTCCCACAAAATTCCCACATAAAATTCCCAAAAAATTCCTCAATATTCGCCAAAAAATTCCCAAGAAATTCCCAGAAAATTCCCCAATATTCTCCCAGAAATTCCAAAGAAATTCCAAAAAAATTCCCCCAAAATTCCCCAAAATTCCCACATAAAATTCCCAAAAAATTCCCCAATATTCTCCCAAAATTCCCCCAAAATTCCCAAGAAATCCCCCCAAATTCCCACAAAATTCCCACATAAAACTCCCAAAAAATTCCCCCAAATTCCCCTCAAAAAACCCCGGAAAATTCAGATTGAACAGGAAAACTCCGGGTCAAAAAAAATCCCGGGAATTTTTTGGGAATTTTTCCGGGACTCCGTGGGAATTCCGGGATGGATTTGGAACGTTCCCAATCCCGATTTATTCCCATTCCCATTCCAGGTTTATCTCAGGACTCGCTCCGACCACGAGGAGCCGGTGACGCAGCTCAAGAGCGAAGTCCGGCACATCCAGGAGGTGAAATTCCCAAAATTCCCAGGAATTCCCACCAAAATCCCACAGAATTCCACAAAATCCACTAAAATTCCTTGGTTTGCCCTAAAAAAATCCTCAAATTCCCAAAAAATCCACTAAAATTCCCAAAAAATCCACTAAAATTCCTTGGGTTTTCCCTAAAATTCCCCCAAAATTCCCCCAAATTCCCAAAAATTCCCACAGAATTCCACAAAATCCACTAAAATTCCTTGGTTTGCCCTAAAAAAATCGCTCAAAATCCCAAAAATTCCCCTCAAAATCCAAAAAAATCCACTGAAATTCCTTGGTTTTCCCTAAAAATCCCTCAAAATTCCCCCAAATTCCCAAAAATTCCCACAGAATTCCACAAAATCCACAAAAATTCCTTGGTTTGCCCTAAAAAAATCCTCAAATTCCCAAAAAATCCACTAAAATTCCTTGGGTTTTCCCTAAAATTCCCCCAAAATTCCCCCAAATTCCCAAAAATTCCCACAGAATTCCACAAAATCCACAAAAATTCCTTGGTTTGCCCTAAAAAAATCCCTCAAAATCCCAAAAATTCCCCTCAAAATCCCAAAAAATCCACTAAAATTCCTTGGTTTTCCCTAAAAAATCCCTCAAAATCCCAAAATTCCCACAGAATTCCACAAAAACCTTTAAAATTCCTTGGTTTTCCCTAAAAAAATCCCCAAAATTCCCCTCAAATTCCCCCAAATTCCCACAGAATTCCACAAAAACCTTTAAAATTCCTTGGTTTTCCCTAAAAAATCCCTCAAAATCCCAAAAATTCCCCTCAAAATCCCCCAAATTCCCCTCAAATTCCCAAAAATTCCCACAGAATTCCACAAAATCCTCAAAAATTCCTTGGTTTTCTCCTAAAAAATCCCTCAAAATCCCCAAAATTCCCCTCAAAATCCCCAAAATTCCCCCAAATTCCCAAAAAATCCACTAAAATTCCTTGGGTTTGCCCGAAAATTCCCAAAAATTCCCCTCAAAATCCCCCAAATTCCCCTCAAATTCCCAAAAATTCCCACAGAATTCCACAAAATCCTTTAAAATTCCCTGGTTTTCCCTAAAAAATCCCTCAAAATCCCAAAAATTCCCCTCAAAATCCCAAAATTCCCACAGAATTCCACAAAATCCTTTAAAATTCCTTGGTTTTCCCTAAAAAAATCGCTCAAAATCCCAAGAATTCCCCTCAAAATCCCAAAAAATCCACTGAAATTCCTTGGTTTTCCCTAAAAAATCCCTCAAAATCCCAAAAATTCCCCTCAAAATCCCAAAAATTCCCCTCAAAATCCCCAAAATTCCCACAGAATTCCACAAAATTCCCACAGAATTCCACAAAATCCTTGAAAATTCCTTGGTTTTCCCTAAAAAAATCCCTCAAAATCCCAAAAATTCCCCTCAAAATCCCAAAAAATCCCCCAAAATCCCAAAAAATTCCACAAAAACCTTTAAAATTCCTTGGTTTTCCCTAAAAAAATCCCTCAAATTCCCCCAAATTCCCAAAAAATCCCACAGAATTCCACAAAATCCTTGAAAATTCCTTGGTTTTCCCTAAAAAATCCCTCAAAATCCCAAAAATTCCCCTCAAATTCCCAAAAAATCCACTGAAATTCCCAAGAATTCCCCCAAAATCCACGAAAATTCCTTGGTTTTCCCTAAAAAATCCCTCAAAATCCCAAAAATTCCCCCCAAATTCCCAAAAATTACCCCGAAATCCCACAAAATTCCACAAAATCCTTGAAAATTCCTCGGTTTTCCCTTAAAAAAATCCCTCAAAATCCCAAAAATTCCCCCCAAAATCCCAAAAAATTCCACAAAATCCTCAAAAATTCCTTGTTTTTCCCTAAAAAATTCCTCAAAATCCCACAAATCCCCCCAAAATTCCCTGGTTTTCCCTTAAAATTCCCAACCATTCCCAAAAAAAAAAAAAAATCCCACAAAATTCTGCAAATTTCAGCCCCAAATTTCCCCCCAAAATCCCGGAATTCCCCCCAAAAAATTCCCACAAAATTCCCACCAAAAATTTTTCCCAAATTTCCCCCCAAAAAAAACCCAAAAATTCCTTTTTTTTAAATTTTTAATTGAATTTAATTTGATTTTTCCCCATTTTTATTTGGTTTTATTCCCTTTTTTCCCCCTCCTCGTTATCCCAGGAATTCCCAACCCCTCCAAAATTCCCTGGAAATTCCCAAAATTCCCTGGAAATTCCCAAAATTCCCTGGAAATTCCCAAAATCCCCCCAAAAAAATTCCCAATTTTTTTTTTTGTTTCCCCAGGCTGGGAGCGTCCTCAAAAAACTCCGCGAGGATTTGAGCACCAAACTCCAGAGCCGCACAGAATTCCAGGAATTCCAAGAATTCCGGGAATTCCAGGAGAGCTCAGAGGTAAAAAAATTGGGAATTACCCTGAAAAATTGGGAATTTCCTCCGGGAAAAACAATTCCAGAGGGAATTTGGGGTAGAAAAGGGGAAAAAATTCCGATTTTGGGGTGAAAAAAGGGGAAAATTCCCAATTTTTGGGTGGGAAAATGGGAAAATTCCCAATTTTTGGGTGGGAAAATGGGAATATTCCCAATTTTTGGGTGGGAAAATGGGAAAATTCCCAATTTTTGGGTGGGAAATGGGAAAATTCCTTTTTTTGGGGTGGGAAAATGGGAAAATTCCCAATTTTTGGGGGGAAAATGGGAAAATTCCCAATTTTTGGGTGGGAAATGGGAAAATTCCCAATTTTTGGGTGGAAAAAGGGGAAAATTCCTTTTTTTGGGGTGGGAAAATGGGAAAATTCCCAATTTTTGGGTGGGAAATGGGAAAATTCCCAATTTTTGGGGGGAAAATGGGAAAATTCCCAATTTTTGGGTGGGAAATGGGAAAATTCCCAATTTTTGGGTGGGAAAATTCCCAATTTTTGGGGGAAAATGGGAAAATTCCCAATTTTTGGGTGGGAAAATGGGAAAATTCCCAATTTTTGGGTGGGAAAATGGGAAAATTCCTTTTTTTTTGGGTGGGAAAATGGGAAAATTCCCAATTTTTGGGTGGGAAAATGGGAATATTCCAAATTTTTGCGTGGAAAATGGGAAAATTCCCAATTTTTGGGTGGGAAACGGGAATATTCCCAATTTTTGGGTGGAAAACGGGAAAATTTGGGGTTTCCTGGAGAGATTTTGGAGCTCCCGGGGACGATCCTGGAATTTTTGAGTCGTTCCTTGGCCAAAATTCCCGGATTTTGCCCCAAATTTGGAAGCGGGAGCGGAAAATTCAGGAATTGGGGGGGGGAAAAATGGGAATAAATCCATGGAAATTTGGGAAAAGGGAATTAGGAATCTCAGGAATGAAAAAAAATCGGGATAAATCCCAATTTTTCCCTTTTTTCCCGGATTTCAGGCGGTGCTGGAGAACAACGGGAGCTGCTCCTGCCCTGGAAATTCCCAGGAAAATCCGGTAGGGAACGGGAAAATTCCGGAATTTTCCGGGATGGGATTCGGGATCGGGGTAAAAAATGTTAAAAAAAAAACTTTTCCCACTAAAAATTGGGAATTTTGGGGTTAATTTGGGAATTTTTTGGTGTTTTCAGGCAAATTTTGAATCCCAAAATTCCAAGTTTTAATCAGGAATTTGGAGGTTCCGGTTTGGGCTAAAAATCCAAATTTTGGGGATTTTTGATCTCTTGGAAAAGTCAAAAATTTGGGAATTTTAGGGAGGATTTTGCCCAAAATTTGGGAATTTTAGGGGGAATTTTGCCCAAATTTGGGGATTTTAGGGAGGATTTTCCCAAAATTTGGGAATTTTGGGGAGGATTTTGACCAAATTTGGGAATTTTAGGGAGGATTTTGCCCAAAATTTGGGAATTTTAGGGGGAATTTTGACCAAATTTGGGAATTTTAAGGAGGATTTTGACCAAAATTGGGAATTTTGGGGAGGATTTTCCCAAAATTTTGGAATTTTAGGGAGGATTTTAACCAAATTTGGGAATTTTAGGGAGGATTTTGACCAAATTTGGGAATTTTAAGGAGGATTTTGACCAAATTTTGGAATTTTTGGGAAGATTTTCTCAAATTTTGGGAATTTTAGGGAGGATTTTGCCCAAATTCGGGGATTTTAGGGAGGATTTTCCCAAAATTTTGGAATTTTGGGGAGGATTTTGACCAAATTTTGGAATTTTGGGGAGGATTTTCTCAAATTTTGGGAATTTTGGGGAGGATTTTCCCTAAATTTGGGAATTTTAGGGGGAATTTTGACCAAATTTGGGAATTTTAAGGAGGATTTTGACCAAATTTTGGAATTTTGGGGAGGATTTTCCCTAAATTTTGGAATTTTAGGGAGGATTTTAACCAAATTTGGGAATTTTAGGGAGGATTTTGCCCAAATTCGGGAATTCTTGATGGGAATTTCATCCCAATTTTTTTGGAGGGTGAGGAATTCTTTGGCCTTTTCCAGGATCCGAAGGATTAATTATCCCCTCCCCCATTAATTATCCCCTCCCCTCGTTAATTATCCCCTCCCTGGGATTAATTGCTGCCCCTCCCCCCCGTTAATTATCCCTTTCCCGGATTCATTCCGGCCGCTCCCGGATGTTTTTTTGGGAATCGCGGTGACGTCATCGGCCCCGCCCTGTCCCGGAGCTTCCCCCGGAATTCCGGGATCTCCTTTTCCCAAAAATTCCCTCCAAAATCCGGGAATTTTCCCAAGGAATTTTTCCTCTCCGGGTTTTTTGGTTTTTTTTTTGATGGAACTCCGGGAAAATCCGGAATTTCTGGGGAAATCTTCCTGGAGAGGGAAGTTCCGGAATGTTCCTTGGGATCCATTCCAGGGGTTTTTTTCAGGAATTTCCAGGAAGTTCTGGAATGTTCCTTGGGATCCATTCCCAGGGGGTTTTTTCAGGAATTTCCAGGAAGTTCCGGAATGTTCCTTGGGATCCATTCCAAGGGATTTTTTCAGGGATCTCCAGGAAGTTCCGGAATGTTCCTTTGTTCCATTCCAAGGGATTTTTTTCAGGAATTTCCAGGATCTCCAGGAAGTTCAGGAATGTTCCTTGGGATCCATTCCAGGGTTTTTTTTCAGGAATTTCCAGGAAGTTCTGGAATGTTCCTTTGTTCCATTCCCAGGGTTTTTTTTCAGGGATCTCCCTGCCAAGGGAATTTCCAGAACATTCCCAGGTTTTTTAGGGAATCTCCCTGGCCGAGGGCAGGTTCCGGAACATTCCCGCTCTCCCATTCCCGGGGTTTTTTATGGGATCTCCCTGGCCAGGGAAGGTTCCGGAACATTCCCGCTCTCCCATTCCCGGGGTTTTTTATGGGATCTCCCTGGCCAGGGAAGGTTCCGGAACATTCCCGCTCTCCCATTCCCGGGGTTTTTTATGGGATCTCCCTGGCCAGGGAAGGTTCCGGAACATTCCCGCTCTCCCATTCCCGGGGTTTTTTATGGGATCTCCCTGGCCAGGGAAGGTTCCGGAACATTCCCGCTCTCCCATTCCCGGGGTTTTTTATGGGATCTCCCTGCCCAGGGCAGGTTCCGGAACATTCCCGCTCTCCCATTCCCGGGGTTTTTTATGGGATCTCCCTGCCGAGGGCAGGTTCCGGAACATTCCCGCTCTCCCATTCCCGGGGTTTTTTATGGGATCTCCCTGGCCAGGGAAGGTTCCGGAACATTCCCGCTCTCCCATTCCCGGGGTTTTTTGCGGGATCTCCCTGCCGAGGGCAGGTTCCGGAACATTCCCGCTCTCCCATTCCCGGGGTTTTTTGCGGGATCTCCCTGCCGAGGGCAGGTTCCGGAACATTCCCGCTCTCCCATTCCCGGTTTCCCGTGGCAGCGGTGGCAGGAGCAGCTGCGGGAGCGGGCGGAGCGGGCGGAGCGCGGGCGGCGCCGGGCGGAGCAGGAAGCGGCCGAGCGGGAGCTGCGGGTGCAGGAGCTCCAGAGGCTCCTGGAGAACACGGAAAAGGTGCTGAGGGATCGGGATCGGGATCGGGATCCATAATTGGGATCAGAATCGGGATCCATCATCGGGATCGGGATCGGGATCCATCATCAGGATTGGGATCAGGATCGGGATCGGGATCAGGATCAGGATCGGGATCGGGATCAGGATTGGGATCGGGATCGGGATCCATAATTGGGATCAGAATCGGGATCCATCATCGGGATCGGGATCAGGATCAGGATCGGGATCCATCATCAGGATTGGGATCGGGATCAGGATCGGGATCGGGATC